ATCGAAAGCGAACGGGCGAGAATGCAACAAGCATTGGTTTTCCATAGGTTTTTGGAGGATGTTGGCCTCTTGGGGGCCTCCTTGGAGGTCTCGGAGGCTTCTTGGAGCCGTCTTGGGACCTTCTTGGGGCCTCTTGGACCATCTTGGAAGCCGTCTTGGACCATCTTGCGCTATCTTGAGGGATCTTGGAGGTCATCTTGGGCTCTTTGAGGCGCTCTTGGAGCCTTCTTGGACCATCTTAGATGCTCTGACCGCTCGCGAACCCCCCCGTCCAGGTTCAGGGGAGGGGGTAGGGGAGGGGGGGGGTAAACGCCTCCCCGAAGTTGAAGAAGGGGCGGTGGAAAAGGAAACTCCCTAAACCACCTACGCCGAGAGGGCTGGTGGGATTGGTTTGCATCCTTCTTGCGAGTGGCAAGGGCTGCGGAACGCGAGTAGTTATGCGAATACAGTCGGGGCCCTGAAGAAGGAGCCCTTTTGGTTGGGGAGGGGCTCCGCGTTCCTTAAGTGTTTCACAGCTTGCCTCAGGTTTCCCTCTATGTTTTCCATGGGAAAATCGAAGTTTAACTTGTGGGAAAAAGGGGCCCCGTTCCTCATTTGGGGTTCCTTAGGTCAACGCCCCGACTGTACAGCTCAGCGGAGTGTCCAGCGACATCCCCGCACTGAACAAGCACCGCCTCGCCTCTGTGCAACTGTCGCGCAAGTTTGCACAGCCAGCCATGAGCTTCGAGGAAGTCTCCTCCTCCTCCTCCTCCTCCTCCTCCTCCTCCTCCTCCTCCTCCGCCTCCCAGTCCTCCTCCTCCTCCTCCTCCTCCTCCTCCTCCTCCTCCTCCTCCTCCTCCTCCTCCTCCTCCTCCTCCCTTCTCATTTCCTCGCTCGCCGCCGAGTCGAGCTTCGAGGAGGTCTCGAGCGAGAGCCCCATCTCGCAAAGGAACCGCCTCCATCCTTGCAGCTGCTACTTCTGTTCAAGCTGCTTTGGAGTTCGAGGGAGATTTTGGCGGGAGACCCCATTTGAAAGGTAACCGCCCTCCATCGTTGTAAGAGCTGCAGGCTTTCAAGACGAGCGCGCGCGGTGCCAAGGCGAAAGCCCCGTTTGGAAAACGACCTTCCCTCCGTCCGTGGAATGATTGCAACTTGCAAGCCTCAGGATCACAAGTGGCTAGGAGGTCACAAGCAAAACGCCCGGCCCGCCCTACCGACGCGCCTGGGGGCACGACGGGGAGGAGCTATCTATAAGGAGCATGGATGGAGGAGGAGGAGGAGGAGGTGGAGGAGGGTGAGCTGGAACTCGGGCAGGTGCTAGAGGAGGACGGCAACTCGGAGGAGTAGCGGCTCAGAATCATCACCAGAAATTTAGCTCCAGTCGCACCAGGTCTGACGGAAGGCCCACCAGCCCAGGGCGCCAATGATCCCAAGTTGTTCAACAAGCGTTTTTTGGGGGGGGGGAATTTGGGGGTGTAAGTGGGTGTCCTTCGTGCGTTGGTGTGCTTCGATCGCGCGGGTGGGGGGGGGCAGTGCAGCGCGCGTGGGAGGGGCGGGAGGGGGGGCAGCGGTTCATACTCAGCGACTCGGAGTAAGCGAGGTGCGTACTTTGGCAGGTCCAGTCGGGGTAAACGAGCCTCTTGGGGTCCGTCCCGGTGGAGGGGGCGGGCTTCCACTGGCTGCACGCAGCGAAAGATCTCACTGGCAACCGCTAGGCAAGGCAAAGGATCTCTCTGGCCTGAAGCACCTTGAGACCCGACGTCGCGAAAAGATCAAGCATCGCGAAGCATCACGACCGAAGCCTCGGACGACATCTCCTGCTGTCTTTTCCAAGCCGGTTCGATCCGTGGTGGCCCTGGGGCCCGAGACAAGGCGAAATCGCCCAGTGCGAAAAGCAGCGCGGCGCGCCAGGATCTCGGGGTTGTTTGGCGCGGCGCGGAGCACCACCCCCGCGCCCTGGCCACGTCGGCGGGCACCACGACTCCACGGCGTCGTCCTCGAACACGAGCGCGAAGTCGAAGCGGCCAGCACGGTCTCGAGCACGTGTATGAGGAAGCGTTGGAGGAGCAGCGGCAGGAGGATGAAGAAGGGGAGGGAGAGGAGGAGGAGGAGGAGGAGGAGCAGGAGGAGGAGGAGGAGGAGGAGGAGGAAAAGGCAGGAGGAGGGGGGAGGAGGAGGGAGGAGGAGGCAGGTGGGACGAGGAGGATTTTGCACCGAGTGCTCCAATGAGCTCAAAGGGGAGGGGGGGGAGGAGGGGGAGGGACTCCTCCGCTGCAGGCGGGGCGGGCCTTGGCCTGGTTGAAAGCCTTGGCCCGCGCGCTCGCGCCTGGCATGAGGCCCCTCTCCAGCTTGCTGAGATTCTCGGCCCCCTTCTTAGAGAGGGGACGACAGGGCTGGGCCAGCAACAGGATCGATCGGTCCATACCGAGGCCCCCGCAAGTTGTACACGCCCAGCAATCGGCGTGCTCAAAAAAGCGGGCGGCGTGGGACGGGTGGACAATCTGATTCCCAATCTGGAGCGGGGCGGACCTGGAGGAGGAGGGGGCAGCACCAGAATCGATGGGGTTGCACGGAGTCGTGAGCCATTCCACAACCCCCTCCTTGGAGGGCTTCTGGTGGCACAACCTGCAACTAAACCGCGATTCCAAAAACTGAAGGCCGTTCTTATGCGGGAAAATCTGGACCGCTTTGTCTAACTTACCCAGGCCAGCTTTCCGAACTCCGTTGAGGGGCTTAGCCCTCTCTCTCTGACTGCGACTGTCGTGTGGGGCAGCAGCAATGAGAGCGGAAGCTAGACGGAGACGGACTTGCTCGGCGAGAGTGTCGAGAGCGATAACACTCTGGGTTATGTCGGGACCAATCTGGCACATCCCAGCTTCCCAATCGGCGATCCGATCGGCCTCGATATTCGCAAGACGAAACAGTTCGGGGAGGCCAAGTGCGCGGTATCTGTCCTCGCCCACATGGCTCTCAACCTTAATTAAAGTGATCCCTCGGGCCCTGGTTTCGGCGACCTGGGACAGGGAAAACCACAAATCGAGGTTCGACTTGGGCATACCGCCCGCCAGAAGTTTGAACCAGCCTCGGACAACATAGGCCGAGTCACACAAAAAGGTCAAATCGTCCAGAACTTGCTGTACGCAATCCAGGAGAGCCCAAAGCTCGGCTCTGTTGGAAGTCTGCCTGCGCCCAGCCAAGGGAGCGCTCCTACGACGCACGACCTCCGCTTCCTGAGACCTCGGGTTGAGCTCGACCCACGCCCAGGCACATCTCCGCAGCCTAGGGTCCTTAGCATTCGCACCCCCAGACCCGTCACCCGCGAAAAGACGTCCCACCACTTCAGCTGGGGGCTCGCTACCCCCGTGGGTCGCAACACCGCTAGCTTCAACGGGTGGGTAGGTCACATCGTGCAGCTCAACTGCGTCGGGAGGGTCGGGGATGGACACGAGGTTGGAAGGGATCATGCCTCGGAGCCAAAAACAAACATTTGAATTCTGATCGAGGGCAGTTTCGGCAGCCTCAACCACGTCTTGCATATCTTGACACTCTGGAAGGTCAGCGTTGCACGGGCATTGCCAAACTCGATGGCGGAGGCTCTCGGGGGCCTCTCCACATCTAGGACAAGTGGGGTCGAAATCCTGCGCAACACAACACTCTGCAATGCGTTGCCTGGGCCACATACCTGCGGCTGCGGCACATTCAATTGCAGCTCTGGTCTGGAACTCTTGGGCTTTATCAAGCTTGGCAAGCTGTTGCCTTAAGCTGAACAAATCGACACCCTCCTCCATCCCGCTTCCCAAATGCTGGGTGGACGCGCCTGCCCACAGCTTGACCTCCACAGTCTTGTGGACGGCGGCCAGCAGGTCGGAGGGGTCGTAAGATGCGAGAAACGTACGGAGAGAGGAGAGGTCTTGGACGGGGGCCTCCCAGCGCTCGTCAAATGGGTCACGCCACTCGAAGCGCCCAGGAGTGTCCCATCCAAGCGCAAGAAGGGAGGTGATGATGGCAGACATGGGGCCTCGGATTCTGAACCACCTGCGGTTGGCTGGGATGGTGGTGACACGGCTATAAATCTTCCTCCAAGCATTTTGGAGGCGGCCGATCGGGGTACCGTCCATTCTCAAATAACGGAACCACTCCACCAACATATCTATAACAGCGACAACTGCAGGGCCCCTGGATCCGAACCTGAGGGCCAAAACAGTCGTGAGACACCTGCCTTGCTTTTGCTCCCAGACGGCTCGGGCGGCGGACTGCCGCAGCTTTTGCAGCCGACCTGGGGCCACACCAAAAAGTTTGGATTCGTACATGGCCTGCGGGACAGCACCTGTTTTAAAAAGCTTGCGGCGGATACGTTGCTTGAGGGATCTCAAGTTGGCAATTCGGTTGCCTCTCCGAACTCCTTTCCGCCACCTTTGGAGACTACGAGTGCGGCGACGATTAACATTGTGGCCTCTGTCGATGCCGAGATCGGGGGCACTACCTGAAACCTGCACAGTGATACCTGTCTTCGCGAGCTCAGCTCCCACTTCTTTGGCGATGAGCGGGGATGAGGCAATGATGCAAGACTTCCTGGAAAGAGACAAACGTAGGTTATCGAGACCGACTTTGAATTCTCGCACAAACTCGACTGTGCTGGATGTGACCTGCTGGGCTGTGCCTTCAGCCCTGCTGTTCACGTCATCCACCCACGTGCGTGCCGGGTGGGAGGAGGAGGAGGAGGAGGAGGAGGAGGAGGAGGAGGAGGAGGAGGAGGAGGAGGAGGAGGAGGAGGAGCAGGAGGAGGAAGGAGGAGGGGAGGAGCAGGAGGAGGAGGAGGAGGAGGAGGAGGAGGAGGAGCGAGAGGAGGAGGCCAGGCAGGAGGAGGAGGAGGAGGCAGGAGGAGGAGGAGGGAGGGAGGAGGAGGCAGGAGGAGGAGGAGGAGAGGGGAAGAGGGGGAGGAGGAGGAGGTGGTGGAGGACCTATCCGGCCCGAAGCGCAGCCGCCCTCCCGCCGCGGCCCGCGCGGTGGCGGACCTCGAGGGGGCCGACCGGCTCATCATGGAGGGCGCGGGGCGGGAGGGCACCGTGGAGGGGTACATCGTGGATTCCAACTGGCCCGGCGCGACGGGGTGCCTCCTCCCTCCTCCTCCTTCCTCCTCCTTCCTCCTCCTCTCCTCCTCCTCCATCCCTTTTTTCCTCCTCCTTCCTCGTCTCCTCCTCCTCCTCCTCCTCCTCCTCCTCCTCCTCCTCTCCTCCTACCTCTCCTTTCCTTTACTCCTTCATTGTTTCCTCGCTGTCCCTCTCGTGAGGACTCGATTGGCCTGCTCTCTGAGCGAGATAGTCCATCGATCCTCCTTTCAATTATACTTCCTCGTGCTGATGCTCCAGCTGCTGCTGCTGCTGCTGCTGAGCTGCTGCCCCTGCTGCGACTCTCCCCTCTGCTCTTCCTCCTCCTCCTCCTCCTCCTCCTCCTCCTCCTCCTCCTCCCTCTTCTTCTTCTTCCTCCTCCCCCTCCTCCTCCTCAGCCTCCTCCTCCTCCCCCACCTCCTCTTCATCCTGCCGCTGCTCCTCCACTTCTTCCTCACACCCTTCCTTCTCCTGCTGCTCCTCCTCCTCCTCCTCCTCGCCCTCCTGCTCTGCGGCTCCTCCCCCCCCCCCGTGGGTGCGCGATGAGCCACATCCGAGCGATGGTCGAGGCCGCGCTGGCCGGCTTCGAGTTCGCGCTCGTCTTCGAGGACGACGCCGTGGTGCCCGCCGACGTGGCCAGGGCGCGGGGGTGGTGCTCCGCGCCGCGCCAAACATCCCCGAGACTCCGGCGCCGCGATTATCTTCGCACCCCGCGAGCTCGCCGAGTCTCGGGCCCCAGGGCCACCAAGGACCGAGCCGGCACAAAGCGTGCCTCAGAGAGGTGGGGCTTTGGGGCGATTGCATGATGCGATTGTCACGATGTTGCATTTTGCACGATGTCACCGAGGGGTAGCGATTTGTCACGAGGGGTTGCATGTTGCGGTTGCATAATACGATTGTCACCGAGGGGTAGCGATTTGTCACGATGCTGCATTTTGCCGCGACGTCGGACACCGGGGAAGGGAGAGGGCTTCCCACTGCCAGGGCCAGAACCCTCCAGGCAGCGCCCAGCTCGCAGCTCGCCCTGGAAGCGGCAGGGCGCTCTGCGATGATTCCGAGCAGATGTTTTTGGAACGTGCTGACATGGTTGGACACGCGCGCCAGGATGATCACCAGCAAAACAAGGGCAACACGGAGCTGGGAACACAAAATTGCTTTGCCGCTTGCGCGGCCCACTAAGGGCTGGCCCCTTTGGAGAGCTTTCCCCACCCCACCGAATGCCCTCTC